ACCTTTACTCAGTATATCCCTATTTCATTGTATGACCTCCAGCATTGGCTTCAGGCGCCTACTATCTTCGTCTGGGATTGTTCCGAGGCCGGTAATATCCTAAATAATTACCACCGTTTCGTAGAGAAACATGAAGAGGAAGAAGAAGCTGCTGCCGCCGCCGATCCTAACTATGAGAAGACTAAATATCGCTCGTATCTTCATCTTGCAGCTTGTGCTGTTAAGGAGAATCTTCCTACCAATCCCCGCCTCCCGGCTGATCTCTTCACTGCGTGTCTAACAACACCCATAGAGATGGCGTTGTGGTTTTTTGTCTTACAAAATCCTCTTAAGACGAGTATTACACCAGAGCGGGCCAAGAAATTGCCCGGTAGGTTACAAGAACGGAGAACACCACTTGGAGAGCTTAACTGGATATTTACGGCAATCACTGATACTATTGCATGGACCTCCCTACCTCGACAGTTATTCCGTAAGTTCTTCAGGCAAGACCTCATGGTCGCGGCTCTTTTCCGCAATTTCATTCTAGCTCAGAGAATCATGATGGTCTATGGATGTCATCCTCAGTCATATCCAGAATTACCGGATACTCACCAGCATCCTCTATGGGAAAGCTGGGATTTGGCTGTCGATTTGGCGTTGGCACAGCTTCCTATGATGGAGCGGAAAGAGAACGAGGGGATTGAATACGAATACCAAAGCTCGACCTTCTTCGCAGAGCAGTTGACCGCCTTTGAAGTCTATCTTGGGCGCGGAGATGCTATGCAGAAAAAGCCTCCTGAGCAGCTCCCTGTTGTACTCCAGGTCTTACTGAGTCAACAGCACCGAGTACGTGCCCTTATCTTGTTGGGCAGGTTCTTAGATCTGGGACCCTGGGCAGTCCACCTAGCTTTGAGCATTGGTATCTTTCCCTACGTGTTGAAGCTCCTGCAATCTGCCGCTGCCGAGCTGAAACCTGTTATGGTGTTTATTTGGACCCGGGTTCTCGCCGTAGATGTCTCTTGCCAGCCTGATCTGATCAAGGACAGCGGTTACAATTATTTCGCCTCCATACTTAATCCATCCGAAGTGCTTGCCGTCGCTAATAGCGATGAACATAAAGCAATGTGCGCCTTCGTGCTCACAATGCTATGTAAGGGTTATAGACCTGGGCAATCAGTATGCAATTCATCAAATATCATGACGTATTGTCTAGCTCATCTTCGGAACGAGGAGAATGTGTTGCTACGCCAGTGGGCGTGCCTTTGCATTAGTCAACTCTGGCAAGATCTGCCTGAGGCGAAATGGAGGGGCATCCGAGAGAACGCGCCCTTGAAGCTGTCTACCTTGACGAAAGACCAGGCTTGCGAAGTACGAGCTGCGGTCATTCATGCTATGACGACGTTCCTAGGCATTCCAGATCTTACAGACGAGGTGGCTAGGATTGAGGAGTCAATAGCTTGGACGCTTCTAGATATGGCTAGTGACGGCAGTCCACTTGTCCGTAAAGAGCTGCTAGTCTTTATTTCGCATTTTGTCCTTCGGTATGAAAATAAGTTTATCGTTGCTGCTTATGAGCAGCTGGTCGAGGAGAAGGAGTATTTGCACTGTCCCCCAACGGACGACGGCCTTGAGCATAAAATGGGTATGCATTATGCTCGCCCGGAAAATCGCAATCCGGATGGAACAATCAAGGCCACAGCCCAAGGATTATCTTCGAATACCGTATTCGCCGCTTGTTGGAAACATGTCTTGATATTAAACGTAGACCCTCATCCTGAGGTTCAACGAGATGCGACGATTGTCGTTGATTACGTTCACAACGCACTTCTATCATCAAACGCGGGTGTCCCAGCCCGAAATCTAATGGATGAGATTCAAAAGCGAACGCGACGATCACGCGGTCACAAGAGGCAACCCTCTATGTCACGAAATGGCATAGGTGCATCTGCTTCTGATATCATTCCCCAAGAACCCTCACCTGGCCTTTTGAAACGGACTGCAAGTCTTCTATTTCAGCTGCCTAGCATGTGGACCGGAGAAGATAAATCGATTAATTCTGCGCCATTGCCTTCCCCCGGGCTTACAAGAACCTCTTCGCAACGGCAGAGGCCCGTCAGCGATTGGGCTATTCTCCCTGAACAGAGTGATCAGGCCAGTGTATCGGCATATTATCATGTAGCTGATGAGCCTGTGTCGGGGAAATTCAAAGAGCGCCGCCTCGATGAAGCACCTTCTCTACCCCTTCCGAGCACGTTCCTGGAGTGGTCCATCGAGTACTTTCGCGAACCGCAGATGCACCCTAGCGAGGCTGAGGAACCGGGAAGCACCGAGTACAACGAGCGTTTGTGGCGGAGATCACGAAACGAGAATATACTCCGAGAGACGCAACCGCAGAAGCAGTATGCTGGCAGTCACAAGTGGAATAACCAGCTCTGCATTATGAACAACGGCGCTCAACCGGCAAAAATGACATTTCACCAATACGAAGACCACCTTGCAGTAGCCGACGATGGGAACACTGTTTACATCTGGGATTGGAAAAAGCAAACTAGATTAAACCGATTCTCGAATGGGAACCCGGAAGGCTCGAAGATCAGCGATATGACGTTTATCAACGAGGACGACACGGCGCTCCTAATGACGGGCTCATCCGATGGCGTGCTCCGGGTCTACCGTAATTACGATACCCTCAAGACGACCGAGTTGGCATCGTCCTGGAGAGCACTTACTCATATGGTCCCTAGTAATGTCAATTCTGGTATGGTGTTCGACTGGCAGCAGGTGACGGGCAATGTGCTTGTTGCAGGAGATGTTCGTGTCATCCGGGTTTGGGCTGCCGCATACGAAACATGCATAATGGACATACCCGCACGCTCAGGATCTTGCGTTACCTCATTAACATCGGACCAGATGACTGGCAATATCTTTGTGGCCGGATTTGGGGACGGTGCGGTTAGAGTGTTCGATACTCGACTCCGGCCGCATGAGTCAATGGTAAAGAAATGGAAGGACGATTCTGATAGACAGTGGATTAGAGACGTGCACATGCAGCGCGGAGGTCAGCGCGAGTTGCTTTCCGCGAGCCGAAACGGGAAAGTAAAGCTTTGGGATATTCGAATGGATTCGCCGCTCCGCGTTATCCAAGCAACTCGCGATACCATCCGCACAGCAAGCACGCACGAACACTTGCCTGTATTCTCTGTGTAAGTCACTAGCCGATGCCAAATTTGAATTATTCATGCTAACAATATTTTAGCGGAACGTCCGCCCACACCGTAAAGGTCTTCAACTTCGATGGCAACGAGCTCTCCCGTATGGAGCCCTACTCTAGCTTCCTACAACAGAATCGCGGCGCGCCCATCTCTACCACCGCCTTCCACCCGCACCGCATGATCCTAGGTTGCGCAGCTCGCGGCGATTATCACATCAACCTCTTCACCTGTGCCAGCGAGAAGCCGGAAGCTTTCCTCAACTCGCTATAAATGCACACATAACCTTCCTTTCGGCTTTCCAACCATAGCCATAGCCACCATCATCTTCTTTTCACGTAGATAGAAGAGAGGATACGTTTAATGCTAGTAACGGAGTTGTAATGACTGACTATATCTTCTTTCTCTAACCCCCTTTTTTTGAATGCTTTGAGCTCTGCTCAAGTAACGACTAGAGCGCCTATCCGCTCGTAAAATACAACGGATCAGGGTAAACGAACGGGTAACTTGACACGGATTAGGCATGGAGGCAGGTAGTTGTTTCAGGCGGAGTCGGGAGGAAATCTATTGGAACGGTATCATCCGCCCTTTTTTTGTTTTCGTGCTTAACCCACCCCCTTTTTTTGCATTTCCTGTCCCAGGGTGGAGGAGGGAAGGGTCACGTTTCCGAAACGGATGTGGTTGGTCGATCCTAGATATGATACTGTATGTAATAAATCTCAGTTGGAGAGTTTATCCGACCTAAGCTTGTTCTCCATGTTTTATGTCTTTACCTAGGTAACTTTACGAAGTAATAATAAGCCGATGCTTTTGATGACGATGATTAAGTTGGTGCTATTGTTACCGTTGTCTTGATATCCCACTTTCTTCGGGTATTGCTTGCACGGAATTGTCCTAGCAGAGGTGAGTAGAGTAAGAGAGAAAGGGACGATGTGGAAACCTCGTGTTTTTAAAATGACGCGGTGTCAAACTACATGTAGTAAGGGTTCCTAAATATGTTGTTGTAGCTTCTTTTTCTCCTACCCTCAAGTTCTCCCCTTGGTGTTGATTAGGTACTTGTGGTAAGATAGTTATATGTACAATACATGTGCATGCAACATGCTATAGGGCACTCTTCCATAGTACCTAAAGTACATGCATGTGCTGTTTTGAAATAGCAATGGCACGACGATGCGAAGAGGCCAAACAATAGAACAAGAGTAATAGTTAGGTAAAACGCAAAGGTAGAAGACGCTATAGGGCAAAATTGTACGGATACATTCAACCACAAATCCTAAGAATTGTCTGTGGAGACAACTTCAAGCTTCATGGCGCAGTGGAAGCGCGCCGGGCTCATAACCCGGAGGACCTCCGATCGAAACGGAGTGAAGCTAGCTGTTTCTTTTTTTCAACTTTTTCAGTTGGCCATTTTAGTATTTTTCTTGTTCGTTCGTTCCCACAAAAGTTTAGTTTCTCTTAACTCAGGCCATAGTATTATTCTATGTAGCATTAAGAATCATACCTGTATTAATATCCGTACCTAATGTATCCGTAAGACTGGCTACGTTGTCATTTTGATATCCTCGTGCCCTTTCTATCAAGAGGCTATCAAGAGCTTTGCCTTGTAAACAGAAATTGGCACCCATACTAAATAAAATTTACTCCGCTGAACTCTTGAACGAAAATCGCTAAATCCTCTTTAAACCTACTAAATTAGTTAGCTCTCTTCCCCCGTGTCCACAATGCAGCAGCTAGGAATAGAAAGGGCAAATAGGTAAGTACATACCCAAAAGAAAGACCGTAGAAATGCTTAAGACCACAGAGCTGCCCTCAATGTGATCGAGGAGACCATGCTGGAGGATTGCTGGGCGTGGAAGGAGAAAGTTGAGATGGGGGCGTAGAAGGACTGGGAGCATTTAGCACTTCATCTTGCGGCGTCGATTCCGGCCGACTCCCGGGCTCAGTTGGAGTATTTTGTTCTGTTGGTAAAGGATCGTGGATCTGTGAGGAATCCCCTCTAGAAGCGGCAAGGGCTCTCCGGGCTCTCCGCGATCTCCGCGATCTCCGTGATCTCCGGGGATTTCGGCCTGCTGGGGGAGCTATGGGTTGACGTGTCGGTAGTTCTATCGTAGTTGCCTCTAGTGCCCGTTGTGCAGCGGAACGATACGGCAAGGATAGATCAGGAACTTCAGGAACTTCAGGAACTTCAGGAAGTGGGGATTGTATTCGATGCCGTCTTGGGCGCACGATGTCAATGTATGGACCCGTCTCCGGAGGTCCTCCTAATGAGAGGAGGTCGAGCAGGCTCTCTACAGCCGCGTTTTGAGGCGGATATGTAGCCAAGGAAGATTCGGGAATAGGCGTAAGACCACGGCTAGGGGAGAAAGAACGTAGTGGATTCTCTATCAGAGGTTCTGGGCGTTGCCTATACGGCAAGTCTTGAGATTGCCCAGGTGTTGCATCCATCAATCTGTAAGTCTCCTCGGATGGCGTTGATGATGCATGATCGTCATGCGTCTGCCCTGGGTGTTGATTTTCCTTCTTTATCCGATCCTCTTCTTCCTGAGCCCTTTGCCGACGTATGCGTCGCGCCTCTCGCGCATAGTTTATTATATCCTGCCGTCCAATAAGTCTAACCGCGTCCCGCTCAATCTCTATCAGAGGCCCCCTTCTTGGCTGTTGTAGTACATAGAGCGCATCGTCTAAGTTACCCGTACAGTCGCAAGTTCTCCATGTCGAGCCGCAATTGTAGCAAAACTCGTGACCGCAATAGCATCTACACAGGCCAAAGGATGAGTATGGTAAGCATACATTATTCAGATAACAATGGGAATACGATGTATGAACTCACGTCATATGGCTGCATCCAGTCGTTCGGGAGATTGTATAATTACACCGTGAACATTTCTGCCAACCCTCGCGCCGGATCAATGCCTCTAATTTGGCATCTTTAGGCGGTCCCTTGCACCCCGATTCAATAGGCTCATGTCCTTGATGGCATTTCTGACAAGTCTTAGACTTGCATTTGTCACATACAATGATATCGCTTCCCTCTATCGTATTTTGGGTATCGAGAATGGCCTTGCATTGTTCCTGTGAGCAATATAGGGGCGGTTTTTTCCGTTTCTCGCGGTCTATTTTTCGATATTCTTCCAGGATCGTGCTCGACTGTATCCATTCGACGTCTTCATCTCTGAGGACAAACTGACAGCACATAGGCGGCCAGCGATAGCTCTCGGCTATCCTGAATTCGAGGTATCTCTCTAAGCAGTTTCGGCACCAGAAGCACCCGCATGGGAATTGTCGCGGATCAGGGACTTTCTCTTTGCAACATACGCATATTCTAGTGACCAGGGGTTTTGTAAAGTTGGTTCGAGCTGCTTCTTTCATAGTGTTCAGTGTTGGCACCAGTGTCAAATTATCTAGAGACTCTTAAGCTTTTCTAGTAAATATCTCAACTCGAACTGCGATTCTTATAGGTAGATGAAAGATAATTAGCGACGGGTTTCTAGGTTGGTAAGACTGGAAGAGTGATATCTAATCGCTATAGTAATAGTTTCTATTGGACTAGTTTTCCAAAATAAGGACTGTGGTGTTTATGGTGATCAAGAAGAGGTAGAGAATAAGAATTACATGCCAAGTTACCTTAGGAGGCAAGTATCCGTATTAGTTGCCTGTGACTTCCATGGTATTTGGGTAGGGTTTCTTATGTTAGGTACATACCTACAAAGCTCCTCCCTTCTATACATGTATGGAAGTGTTCTTCCCTCATATGCTCTGTCACAGCGACCCTTCTCATTGGCCCAATTGGGATTTCGCTACCTAAAATGGCAATGCAGTACCGAGCCTATCGCCCAGCATCAGGCTAGTACCAGTAGGTAGTTTCCCCTTTAATCCCTTTAATAAGAATAGGAAACAGCTACAGCATACTCCTAGCCGTACTATCCAAGCTGTTCTTTCCCTCTCGCAATATCTCAATGTGAGGTAGGAACCACTAGCCCTGTAGGTAGGTACCTAAGATAGAAGCTTCCATGAGCTCTTTTCCCCTTTATCAACTACTTACATGTAGACTGCACGTTTATCGATGCATGTTAATACATTACACATTTAGCTTTACCCTAATTGCCCGATCGTTATTGGTTACCCAAACGAGTCACCCGGGCAGGCCCCGAGACCTCCTTACAGCGGATTGTGCGAACCCTTCCGGCCTTATCCTATCAGTTCCTTCCTCGCTGTAGCGGGAAATAGACGGGCTATGCTCTGTTTCTGTGATAAGTCAGAAGATCAGGAGACATATGAATAGTAATTTCAGAAGATCCATCACTGATGAGGCAGCACCCCTAAAGCTAAGTGGTGTAGATGTTAGACATAACTTTCGCATCGTACCTTCCTCGACAACCTGCATGTAGTAGTGGTTAACTTATCGGCCTCCGACTTTTCAGTTAGACAGCCGGGAACCCGGGTTCGAATCCCGGTGCAGGTGCTTACTCTTTTTGCTTTTCTCACTCTTGCTCATTTTGACGTTGTGCTGTCCTTCTTTTTATCGTTTCTTATTACCAAGTGCCTGTTAATATAGCTAAAATGCATTTAAGTGTTATAATTACTCTCTGAGGAGTATGGAGGGAGAAATTAATGTTGGGGACTAATTTAGAATATTATACTCAAGAGTTAATGGGTGATTCCCATTAATAATCTTTAGGTAGTATCTGTAATATGATAGGACTAAGGTAGGACCTTGGGTATATCATACTAAAAATACAAATCAACCCAAATATTGACCGTCCTAGAAATAATCACTACATCGCCAATAAGGTGAGAAGCTTATCGCAACTTGGAGAATAAGATGGTTGGCTTGCATTTATCGTCAGCATATCCACCATTTCCTATCATACTATTGGTTGGCCCCTGAGCCGCATATAGAGCCATACTGCGAAATCTGCCCTTTTGGGTACCGCGAAAGCAATAGTTCAATACCTCACTATCTTACGAATAAATCCTAATGGCACCCTCTTACCTATGAAGTTCAGCCCTGGGTGATTAATTGGAGGGAATCATGTCATGAAGTCGTCATGCTTATGCTAATCTTGCCTATAAACAGAGACTTTGTACAGTTGAGAAAGGGCTGTAGCTGAGGGCATCTGATATAAATATATGATATTTCCTCCACTTCAATCTTTCGAGTCAATCAATCAATCAAACCAAGTACAGTATCACTGGCGACCTAACTCAAGGAAGGAGAAAAGCAATATGTTGTTAACCCATTTATTGACTAGTTTTCTTCTGCTGGGGTTTCCTACCCAGCCGGTTCACAGTGAACCGATACCAGCAACCCTAACTTTTCGTGGGACACCTCTCGTTGATTTCAACGCTGCGCATGGTGACGACCCCAAGAAGCTTGGAAGTCTTAACCTAGAGAAGGGCAAGGGCGACAAGCCCAAGCAGAACACCAAGGATTTGTATATCAAGTCGGACAAGGATTGGAAGGGGACTAAAGCTGCACATTTCCACCACAAAGCCGGCTATCGCAGGTAAGAAAACGCAATTATCACTTTCTAAGTAGGGTGAAGACTAATACGAACATTGCGATAGAGCTGAGTACCATTCGCTGAAGGGCCAGACCAAAGCTGGAACTACGTATTTCATCACTTACAGTTTCGCGCTCGAGGTTAGTACAATAAGACTATCTCAGTCCGAGATTGCACCAACTCGAGCCTTTCAAGCCCATTAATAAAAATTTTAGGAACTACCCGACGGCCTAATCATATTCCAATGGAAGGAATACAAGGCCAACAACGACCACGACAAGGGCGCCAACATCCCCCTCGCCCTAGAGCTGCGTAATAACAAGCTAGAATTCACGCATACTTCGGTCTGGAAGGAGCATGGCCGCAAGGTCCAGTGGTCGCAAGACGTCAAACCGCGCACTACGTACAAGATCGGTCTTGAGATCGAAGCTAAAGCGAAGGACGGCCACGTGAAGCTTTGGTTCAACGGCAAGCCTGTAACGTTCGATACTACTAAGTCCCAGACGCTCACTGGAAACATGTATCCTGGCGAGAGCGATCCCAAGTTTGGCATATACGGCGGCGAGGACGTCCAGGTCGACAGTTATGTTTACCGGGTACAAATCGGAACTAGTCAGGGAGACGTTGACCAGAGTTATTTTGGCAAATGAGGAGTATGGATGCCCGGGGAAGGTCGTAAAATACCTTGATAGAGGAACATGTCTTATCTTCTCCTATTTTCCTATTCTTATGTGGTATACTATTAGAATCCGGATGTGGGGGGTTATACGTATACGACTTACACAGCTACCTAAGCAATTAGGGCAAGTTGGTTGATATTTCTAGCTGTCCTTCTTAGGATGACGTTCTTTACTGCTGCTACGAATAGACGTTCGTTAAGTTAGGTTGACTGATAATAAAACAGCACTGCCATCCCATGCTTTGTTTCATTTACCGCAACATGAACACAATACTCATTTGAACGAGAATATATTAAAGGCGTATTCAAACGACTATACATACGTATCTTGTTAAGCAGAAGTTCGTATAAAGGTTATTAACATGCCCAACTCTCTTCCGCTTAAGATAGCAACTACCCGCATAAAGCACTCAACCCCTGGGTGTCATATCCCTGAATCTGGGGCTACTGCGTAAGCTCGCACCCCCCCCCGGTCCTCTCCCCTTCTTCCCTGCATCTCGGGAAGTCGTACTAGACATTAGAAGTGCAGCTATTAAGCGACACTAGTCCGCGTCAGGACGTCCGCATTACTCCGCTCGAGCCGCCGGCTCCGACCCCGGATCACGATCCTTTGGCGACCTTCGCATCATCCACGCTTAAAACATACCTCAGCTAGTTACCACCATGGTATACTAAGTATCCAAATCCAATTAAGGTCTATCTCGATAACATGCCTCTCCAGTTTTGATCCTTACCCTGTGCTCCTCGTATCATTGAGAATACCCTCCTTACCAACAAACATACACATACTTACCCCCTACACCATAGCCAGGCCATGCCGCCCCAAGACTCCCCCGACAGCCGCGCCCCCCCAACCCGCTTTGCGGTGGCGCTTTTCCCGGGATTCCAAGCGCTGGACGTGTTCGGCCCGCTCGACATCCTCAACATGTTGTCCAGGACCCGTCCTCTCTCCCTAGAAATCCTATCCGCGACGCTTGGCCCGGTCCCGACGCTGATTCCGTCCTCGGGCCACACTACGGGCCAATCTGTCGCGCCTACGCGCACCTATGCCGATGGCGCCGACGACATCGAAGTCCTGCTCGTCCCGGGCGGCGTCGGCTCTCGCGATCCGGCGAATGTGGCGCCCGTCGTCGAGTACGTGCGCGCAGCGTACCCGCGCCTCAGGTACCTATTGACGGTGTGCACGGGCAGCGCAGTAGCAGCCAGGTCAGGTGTATTAGACGGGCGGCGCGCGACCTCGAACAAGAGGGCGTGGGAGTGGGTTCGTTGATCCCCTTTTCTTTTTTTTCTTCTTCAGCACACCTACGTTTCAGCTTTCTCTCAGCCCCCTTTTCCACTCCCCACCTACCCTACCCCTTAGCTGGAAGTGCGGTAATTAACGGGAAGCGGTGGCGACAAAAGGCCACGGCGCAGGGCCCGCGCGTGAACTGGGTGCGCCAGGCACGCTGGGTGACGGACGGCAATATCTGGACGTCCTCGGGCATCTCGGCGGGTATCGACATGATGTACGCTTTCGTCGCGGACCAGTACGGCGAGGATGTCGCGCAGACTCTGGCTAATGCGTCTGAGTATGTCCGGAACACGGACCCGGACTTTGATCCATTTGCCGGAGAAACGGACAACGGGGCTGCGAAATAAGGGGTTGTCTAAATATAGTTGCGCCTATGCTTGTGCTTGGGACTCTAGTAGGACGGGTGGATGAGCGGGTGAGCGGGCGAGCAGGCGAAGAGTCTGCGTAGGGGGTGCATGATACCACAATAGAGAATACGAAGTATACCTAGGCAATGAATATAGTTTAGTCTATCAGTCCATCATGAGGTCTTCTGCCTTTCTATTAAGTGAACCTATTGTATTACTATCTGTAGTTGTATCTCTCTAATTCACCTAAGGGGGCGTGTCAATTTCAGTAACGTGTATAAGAAAACCAACGTGGGAATATCTAGTTCATATACAAGCTATAACTATTACGGCCTATTGAAGCATTGCTATTGGAAATTGCAGGCTAAAACGTATCTATCAAGCTCTCTACTCCGATAAAGTGTAGCAAATGGTAGAAATATAAGTAGCTGCCACTTACATTTCTTCACTTGGTCTCCAGCAAGCTTAGACTAAGTATAGACACTTGCACTGCTTCTTAGAACTTGAGCTACAGCGGTAGAAATTTATATCAACATAATACAAAGTAAGTATTTGGCCTCATGTCACTTAGGTACGTTGATTCTAAGTCTAAGTGACCTATAAGTGGCTGTCTTACATATTATCCCGATAGTTAAGGAATATTACATTTTGCAGGTCATCTTAACGCAGTTCTGGTAATAGACTCTAAACAATCTACCATGCGCGATTCCGTGGTATCGCACGATTATATTAAGATATTTACCTATATAATTACCTTAATATTTAGTTACGTAGGGTTATGAAAACTGGGACAAGTTGCAACAGCCATGTCAAGTCAACAATTATCTCAACAAGATCCAATCTAGATCCGAAGCGGAATCATGATCAGTGTGACAATCAGGGGACCAAGACACCGATAAAGCAGTCTGGTGCTGTTGTATGTATTACCCTCAACTACATAATATAAACTTCCGAATGAGAAGGGGGCGACTACATAACGAAGGACGGGGATTGTGACAGTATACTAAAAATATCTCGTGTAGCAATCGGTATTGTATATACCTTGGAAACCTGGGACTTTTCCATTCATATCGTCTATATTTATAGGAGCGGTGAAAGATACCATTCCATACACGCAGTAGTTATCGTCGCAAACCGAGAGCTTCGTATATGACTTGCTGGCTACCTGTCTTGTAGTACTAACCTACACAGCAAGACTCCGATCGACAGGCCCGTGTGCAACATGCTGTGTAATTTACAAACTACGAAAAAGACTACGCACTGATAACAATTTTCTGCTTCTTCAGTAGGTATTTATGATCATAGGTGGATACGATACCCGTTTTCCTGGATCTTGACAAAACTCGCATTCTATTGCACCATGCAGCGGACGGCAGCTTAGCCCCTCGTTGGCCGTACGGTAGATAGTGTATAGATAGTGTATAGATGACGATTCGGGATTGTTCGCGTGCAGATGGTTACTTTTACCGGGCGGTGACAGGTTATAAATACGCAAAAGACAAGATGGTAGGTGCCAATTTAATAGGTCGCGCTACCGTTACTGGTTACATACTAGAGCTTATCTGCGATAATATGGTTCGAGTATCAGCAAAACTGGAAGACTATTGGATAGCGATCCGGCATCGCCGGGGGTGCGGCGGATAGACGCATGTCACAAGGATTTCCCGACTGGGCCACCTCGGATCTCGGGTCTGCGGTCTGAATCCGAACCCGACTTAGTCATAGTGCCTCATTTCTAGAAGCCAGAAGCCAGAAGCCAGAATGTTGGGTCAGCGTGCTATGCCTAGGCCCTAGGGTGGCAAGAGCAAATTTTCTTTGGTGATAATCTCGCGTTTATATCGAGGCTATGTGTATATATGTGGCTAGACTTCGCTGACTTCGGCGTGTTCAAGGCTACCGAAGATGGTGTTGATAATGTTCCCGATTTCCCTAGCATTACATAGGTAGATGGAAATGGCCCTGTAAATGTCGATCTGATGGAACCTAAGTCTTTTGGATAAGGCTGGAGACCCCGGTTGCAAAAGCAGGTTTTGTGATCCCTGCCAATGCATTCAGATTCGATATGTATTTTCTGCGAGTTGCCACAATACGTAGCTTATCTTGGCATATAGAAGCTGTCCTTTAGCATAACATAGGTATCCATTGTAAATTGCAAGTGACCAAGGATTGATATTTAAATGCGAATGGCTGATTGCTAGATATCCACGTGAGATTTCATAAAGGTGACGGCTGTAGACTCCCTTGCGCTTCAGAAAACGAGCCTACTTGTATCTCGCATGTAGACACACACGCGTCAAGTCGGAGACGCTATGTATAAGCGGCTTGTTGCAGTTCCGACTAATTTTCCTATTTCCTACCAGCGGTAGACCTGCCGACCTGGTGGTTTGGGAGATTGATATGGGATGCCTATCTCTACATACTGCAAAATATTTTAACATCTTGGCCTCAAGATATCGAATAAGCTGCGAGAGTGATAGGTGGATGAACGGGCAAATTTACACAGTGAATTAGGTAATGTATTGGATGTATTGGTTTCCAAGAAAAAGGAAACTTCGCATTGCTATCCGACAGGACTGGAACTGAGCCGCGGCAGAGTACATACTGTGGAGAGATAATGAACTTTTACATTATGTACACATTATGTACAATGCTCTCTTCCCTGAAGGATTTGCGGTTAATAGGTACTATATCTCTCGTTTCGTAGGTTCCTGTTCCTGGCCATACGATTAGTTCGGAGTATTTCTCCCGCGCATTAATTGGCCTCATTAATTGGCTGACCGATATCCTTCGCATCTGGGAAAGATAAAACTGTATCGAGTATCAACAGCGGTGAGCATACTATGTATTACCTGGTTCGTCTATTAGCTTTCTCCTTTTCTTCTATGTACTGCTTGAAATATTTGAGTAATGGGTGGCGTCGAATTGAATTTGGGCACGAGGCGGAAGATGAGTTCGTTATTCGCTTAAAAGTCGTATTGCCGCGTGGAAGACGGTAGTTCTAGAATCCTAGAATCCTATTGGAGTACATGGAAATGCAAAGGCAGATCCCTCGCTGTATCGACGTGGCCGAGATATTATCAACATTGATCATACCTACGCATGTACACTAGCATGTAGCCATGGCATAATTGAAAACGCCACCAGCATTTTAAACCAGACTCGATGGACTTCACCATGACTAGTGGACCATCTTTATTGCCTAACCTGATCATAGTAGAAATTTAAAGTAATATGACAGATTGAGGCGACTGCAATAATTAATAAAGGTGGTAGGTAGTAAGTTAGGTACATAGACAGATATCATGATAGGTGAGAAATATGGTGTTGAAGAATCGCGACTTCAGTTGTTGGTTTGTAAGAGGTATGTAGGTAGGTACATATGTATACCTTAGGTACACATGTAGGTACCTACCTGTCGCGTAGAGTTTTAGGTATCTAAGGCTGCTGCAGGTGCATCACGCTAAGATATTTCTTTTTTCTGGGTAGCTAGGTACCTAGGTACCTAAGTGGAGCCTAAAGCTCTTAAAATAAACGTCTACCTAGCAGTCCTAGGCTTGTACTCCATGAGAAATATCTGTAAATTTCACATTGCAATTGGACATATGTATATACATATGTATATACATCGATATGCCCTTGTATATACCTATAGAGGTATAATAATCGTGTGCGACATGACGGCAATGCAGAAAAATGCTATCCAGCATCTCAACGCGTAAAGATATCTCACTTAATATTGAGACGACAAGAACGGGTACTTTTCATCACACTACGTCATTACCACAATGATGCTTGTTTGGACCGGATTCAGCCGTCAGGAGAAACTTTATTTACAGTGCCGGTAACTGCTAGCATTTGGGAACTTTCAACTACGTCAATTTAGTACAATACGGCTAGACTTAAAGGGGGTTAATGAGGTAATTTTTTTTTTAACAGATGAAGGAAAGGAGTTGCGGTATCACTATCAAACTAACTACCTGTTAGCTGACAAAGCTTGGGTAGTTATTTTGGGCTTCATTTTTGCGGGTTGCTGAGAGATTTCGAGTGTATGTAATGTCTATCACTTACCCTCAGATCGGTGGGGGGGTTTGTATATTTAGAAGTGCACCATCATGTATGTACATCTCATGAATTGGACGGCTCTTTTACCTTATACATACCTAGGTAGTGTAAGCTTAAGACCGAAGAACCAAGATGAAATACGATGCCAACAATTCTGGACTTTAATTTCCGTTTTCAAGTTTTTAAGGCCTGTTACCCCTGCTTCGATACTGCGAATTGCGCCTCCTAGCCGCTGAAAGGAACCACTCCCTGCAAGTATTCGATTACCTAGTAGCACGCAATTAATTTATACCGTTGATAGTATATATATGTTTATCATGCAAAAGGTTTTGGAAGGCTATGTTAATTTGTTACTTTATTATTATTTGCTTGGAGAGGGTTAGAGTATAGAGAAGCTTAATTCTATTAACTACTTAGGTAATGTAAGTATAGGTAACTACTTGGGTAGCTATTGTATAATACCTACCTATGTTGACGTGCAAACTTAAAATATCCAATGTTGCTAACTTCAACTAATAAGAATTATGGAACGGAATGACTTATCGAGATTATGGACGGTAGGATGGGTCAGATCGCATGGATTAACGGCTGCATGTGAGAAGCAGTGTGGATTATACCTAATTTGGAAGAACCTACCTTCGTCTGTGGGTTAAAATATCTTGACCTTCTATTCCGTACCAATTATAGCTTGCTACACATGTATTTCGTTATGTATATTTTGATGTTCTCAGTTTTGCTCTCTACATAGAAGGTATGTATTATGAGTTGGGCAGTGAACAATTGCCTGGATGAGACAAGCTTGTCTCAATAGCCATTGAAACTGGTCTCTATTCGAAAACGCCGTGTCTTATCCACATAGTATTCAACACGCGAGCGGTCTCGTCGGAAATAAGCAGAATTGTAACTGAAGTGCATAGGTATCTACCTACTCAGCCCAGCTTGAAAATTTGCGTCCTGTGCGAGCGCGTGTCAATATATAGTTCGGTCATCATGACAGAATACGAAGACCAACCCAGCAATTCATCTGCAGTCAAAAGGAGAGCACCCCACGATACATATGCAGTCTCTGCACGAATCCCTCCGTACAGTATGAAGACGGAGTGGACG